GGTGCATCGGTCTGTAATGAACCAATAAATCAGTGAATAACCAAAAATCAACAAATATAAACATGCATTAATAACCAAACAAACGAATGAACAAGGTGCATACAATGGGACATTGACTTTTTACTATAACTCTGATCAATTATTTACGCTGTGACAACGTAAAATCTGTTTATAGATGTGCAGTGATATAAAAATCAAAACTTCTGTGAAACCAAACAAATTAATTTCGGTAACCTGAATGAATGAAACATACTCACTGAATGAATTTGAAAGTTAGAATGATTTAAAGTTTATGCAAATAACATGAATCGGAGTAAACTTGCGAAAAATATATTTCATCAGTGAATCAGAAAGAACGAATCTCGAAACAAACGATAAAAAATACCTGAGGTATGAAAAGATCGTGCGCACTGAAATGATGTGTATCATGAATTTTGTCTTTCTGCTCCTTAACAATTTTATGTCGTCTTTCAATGGCCAATTTCGCCGAATGTTCACTTGTCAATAACGTATCGCCGGTTACCGTTGATTGAAGACCCATCAAAACACCAATATTTCCTGCCTAAATGAACCAATCTACAGTTTTTACTAATGGCAAAAAAACCGAAAAAATTTTTAAAATGAACTACTATTGGATATTCCTTACAGAATCGCACTTGCTCAATAGGACAATGAAAGAATTATTTATTGAGATTATATGATGGAAATATCGACCGACGTAATATTTCGTGATAAATTTGCAATTTGATGTGTTCCTTTCGAAAATTTTCATCGTTAAAAGCTCTTATTTGCTTTTGATTCGAAACAATCTGCCCTCGCAACTTTTACTTACCTTGATAGCATCAACTGGTTGTAAGATATCGCTGTGTGGTACAAATGTATTAATGCGATTCTCAACATTCGAACGATTTGCATTGAAGACTGACGAAGAATTCGGTATTTGACCCGTATAAACCCGAACGAAACACAGTGGACCACGTCTTCGATCGTGCCCAACCTGGTCAATTTTAATGCATAAAAATAAGCCGCAATATAAGTTTAAAATGAAATTGTTTCTTCATAAAACGATTCGAAACAATGGGAAATTATAAGAGAGAAAAAAATTCTTGCAATCTTTTCATCTATGATGCAAATTTCTCTCAATCGGGCTTGCCGGATTATATTTTTGCGTTCCTCTATCCATCTTTTCACCTTTATTTACCCACCGCTCTAACCCAAATCTATCTCATAAAAC